GTTGTTTACTAGGACGAGAAAGATGGTGATTTGAGAGAGGGATCCAGGCTTCAGCCCGTAAAACTTTCTCAGGTAAGCGCAGCAATTAAAATTTCTTCTGCCTCCCTCCTGTTTTGCAGCTGGTGTGTACTGCTCAGCTGGTCTTTTTGATATGACTTGCATATTGCCCAATGCCTATTTTAGTGACCAGTATTCTTCATGGCTGTTGACTTCTGTCTTGTCACTTGAGGGATTGTAGTGCCTGAGACTTCTTGTTCTCTGATATTTCACTGTTAGCAATGCTTTCTGCTAGAGAGATGCCAGCAGGTTGTTTGTGTACAAGTGTCACTACACAGCACTAATAGTGTGAGGGAAACATCTGTTTTTCAGTTTCATTTTACTGAAGTTACATGTCTGACTGCTCCTGCACACTTTGTTTTCCTCACTGTGAGAATCATCCTGCTGGAATATGGAAGAAAAAAAAAGATCTTTATGTGAAAGGAGAAGGATTATGTGACTTGGAAACAACAGAAATGTTTGGGGAGGCTTTTGTAATATGCTTCTTAAAACACTGGCTAATATGAAAGCTGATCACGTGCAACAGAGCACACTGACCTCTAGAGCACTGTCATGGTTCAAAACAGGTGATGCAAATCCTTGATCTTCTTAACTGCAACTTTTGAGGAGCTGTGATTTTCAGAAGTGAAAACAGGTAATAAAAAGCAGGTCCTGCTGCTTACTTTGATGGCTGAGTGTGAATAGAAAGTACTTGCAGATTTCTGGTGAAAAAGCCTGAAGGTGTGTGCTTATGCATTTGTTTGGTATCTTCTGAAAAAGCCCTGCAGTGTAACCAAGGAGCTGGAGAGCAGAGCAGGCCAGAGATGTTGTGACAGAAAGGATAGAAAATGGCTGCAGATGAGGCAGCAGACAGTTATGTACAGGAATTTTAATTCCCAAATGAATAAAGTATGTTGAGCCAAGAAGAATGATAAACTTTAGAAAGTAAAGTTTGAGTGCATCCTGAGAAAGATGGAGGTGGGCAAGAATGCCAGGGGGCCTCTATGGTTCAACAAGGAGCTCTTGGACTTGTTTTTGCACAAAAAGAAATTCTGTAGGGAGTGGAAGCAGGAAGGGGCTACCTGGGAGGAATGCAAAAAAGTTGTCCAAGCATCCAGGGATCAGGTTAGGAAAGCTAAAACCCAGATAAAATTACATCTAGCCAGGCACATAAGGAGGAATCAAGAAGAAATTCTACAGGAAATTCTACAGTTACAAAAGGAAGACTAGGGGAGATGGGCCCTCTGTGGAAGGAAACCGGAGACTTAGTCATAAGGGATACAGAGAAAGCTGAGATGCTCAGTGATTTATTTGCCTCTTTGCAAAGGCTCTAACCAAACCGCCCAGGTTGCAGAAAGCAAAAGTAAGAACTGGGAGAAGGAAGTTCTGCCCTCTGTAAGTGAGATCAGGTTTGAGACTATCTAAAGAACCTTAAGGTGCACAAGTCTGTGGGACCCAACAAGATCCATCCGTGAGTTCTGAGGGAACTGGTGGAAAAAGTTGCCAAGCTGCTGTTCATCATATTTGAAAGATCATGGCAGTCTGGTATAGTTCCCTCTGACTGGAAAAGGGGAAACTTTCTTTTCAATATGCCTCTGTGCCTGGCACAACCACAGAGCAGATCCTCCTGAGGACCCTACTAAGGCACATGGAAAATAAAGATGAAGTGACTAGTGGTAACCAACATGGTTTCACCAAGGGCAAATCATGCCTGACAAACTTAGTGGCCTTTTATAATAGAATTACAGAGTCAGCGCATAAAGGAAGAGTAATGATGTCATCCACCTGAACTTGACACTGTAACACATGACATCCTAGTTGCCAAATTGGAGAAGAATGGCTGTGGTGGATGAACCACTCACTGGATAACGAATTGCCCAGATGGTTGCACTCAAAGAGTTGCAGTCAACAACACAATATCCAAATTGGAGACTGGTGATGATTAACGTTCCTTAGAGATTGGTGCTGGGTCCGTTGCTCTTTAACATCTTTATAAGTGGCAAGGATAGGGATCGAGTGCACCCTCAGCAAGTTAGCAGACAAAATGGAGTGGTGCAGTTGACACTTTAGAGGGAAGGGATGTCATCTGGAGGGACCTGGACAGGCTTGAAAGGTGGGCCCATGTCAACCTCATGAAGTTCAGAAAGGTCAAGTGCAAGGATTTGAAGCTGGATTGGGACAGTCACAAGCACAGATAAAGGCTGGGTAGAGAATGGCTTGAGAGCAGCCCTCAGGAGAAGGATTTGGGGTTGTTTGATGAAGGATTCAACATGAGCTGGCAATGGGCACTGGCAGCCCAGAAGGCCAACTGTGTCCTGGGTGGCATCAAGAGAAGCATGACCAGCAGGTTGAGGGAGGTGATTCTGCCCTTCTGCTCTTGTGAGATCTCACCTGGAGTATTACGTCCATTTCTGGGAACCCCAACAGAAGAGGGACTTTATAGTCCCTACTAGCCTACTAGTACCTGAAAGGGGCTAGGGAGGGACTTTTTATAACTGTGTATAGTAGCAGGATAAGGGGAAACAGTTTTAAACTTGAAGAGGATAGATTTAGACTAGGTATTAGGACAACATTCTTTGTGAGGGTGGGGAGACACTGGAACAGGTTGCCCAGAGAAGCTGTGGGTGCTCCCTCCCTGGAAGCATTCAAGGCCAGGCTGGATGGGGCTGTGAGCAGCCTGGTCTGGAGGGAGATGTCCCTGCCTATAGCAGGGGTTGGAACTGAATGCTTTTAAGGGTCCCTTCCAACCTAAGCCATTCTATTATAAAATAAAACAAACAAGTATATTTAAGTATAAATTATTTTTCTGCTGAGCTAATTTTATTTTCTTAGTTGCATACGAATTGCACTGATTAAACCCTAGATGCTTTAAGTGTTAATCTGTGTAGATTTCAGTACATGCATTTTAATGTCTTCTTTTGACTTGAATGAAACCTTCTGAACAGAGTATTTTCTTTGTTTTTTTTTTCTTAATCCGTACAATTTACAAATAAGTATTTTTAATTCATGCTAAAATAGCTCAACATTGTGCTTTGGGTTACTTATTGTTTGTTCAGTTCTAGTGCTCTGCTTAGTGTAAAAACAAATGTAAAGATCATTGCTCCCTAGAAGCGTGTCAAACTTGATGCAAACAGGAAATTGTAGGATTTTTATTGTCATTTTGAAAATTAGTGGCTTTGTGCATGTGGGAGAGGTGGTAGTTTCAGAGGAACTTGATTGAAGGGAAGAGATGTTTGAAACTTGGTGGGTGTATGGGGTAGGAAGACAGGCAGGATATGTCTTGTGGACAAAAAAAAATGAAGATGGGAACTAAGTGAGTATATAAAAAGGTTGCTGAGGCTGATACACTAATAGAACAGAAACTGAGTAGGAACATGGGAAAAAGATCCATGAAATATTTACGTATTTGATGTTAGTGTTCAAATACCATATGGTGTGTACAGAAGAATGTTGGTAGGGACAGGGCTGGTGGACCTGCATTTAAAATGATGTGTGCTGCTTAAGAACGAACAATTTTGAGAATACTTTTCCCTCTTCTCTGGCATTTATTTCAGCTAGTTCTGCTCTTGATTTTCTCATTTTTCAGCTGCTATTTCTCTATTTCTCTACCGTTAAAATAGTTCTAATGACAAGTCTTACTCTGCTAGCAAGTCACAATATGTATTACTATTTTTCTTTGTTAAGATTTTCCTAGCATTCAGACTCATAGCTGCTGTAGATGCCAGAGCCTCCTGACATATGTCTGGGAAGCATGATGTGAATTTTATAGCCCCTCCATTACCCGTGGCTGGAGGTTGGGAAGTGGTGATGGTGTGTGTTTTGTTTTCATGCTGAAGTCTGCAGAAGCCTGTCTGGCCTCATTAGCTAATTCTTTCACTTCTGTTTTTGTAGGCTTCAAATACTGACTTTGTCTTTGCTTTCAATGAGGGGGGCGAACTGCTTCAGCTGGACTGTTCTCAGATATTTTGACAATTTTGTAAATGCTTCATGTGTGAATTTCCTGTCTGCGTGCTCTTGACATGAAACTGAAATTTATCTGTTCAAACATTAGTGTACTATTTAATTGCAAAACATTATAACATCGCATCCATGTGAGCAAACATAACCTTTTAAAATTGTCTTGTAAAAGAGGAGCAGTACGTAATACTGTTTACAAAGTACATTTGGTTTTTTAAAAGTAGTCGGATGTCTAAGGCATTTTTTAAATTCTTCAAAACTGTATCACTGAGTCCATAGTCAGATTGGTGGAAAGCTACTGATTATTCTTTAAAGAACAACAGTAAAATAGTCATATAAATAGAAATATTAAACTTTTAAACAGTACCTTGCGAAGTATTGTAAGAAAATGTCACGCAGGAACATAAAACAGCACCAACCTAACCCTGGTTATTCACATTTGGGAGCAGAAAGGGATGACCCTTTTACTCAATTCCAGCTCACCTGATTGTTCAGATTGGTGCCAACGAAGAAAAATTGCACTGACTGCTGACGGAGATGAGGAATGTTTGATGGAGGCTCAGTTCACCCGTATGAGTTTCATTCCTTGTCAGCAAGATTTTGCAGAAATAATTACATATTGCATCCAAAACCGTTACCTATATTCGTGGCTGTCAGCGAGCAGAAATGCGGTCGCAAAAGCAAATCGATTATCCGCTAACAGCTGAATGGGACCTTATGCGTAATCAGAAGGCATTTACCTCATACCCCATTGATGCACCATGTAATAAATGTGACGTTAGGGCTTTTTGTCTTATCTCTCTCTTCCTGCATGTCCATAAAAGTGTTTCTCACTTGTAACAGATGGTCAGAGCGCAGCTTTGAAATTTATCTGCAGATGAAACCCTGTTGATTCCATTAAAAGTGAAGAGTTTTCATGCAGATGGAGACAAGGAGGAATTTATTGTTTTTACAACTCCAGTGATGAGATGTTTCATACAATGCCTTCCTTTCCTTTTTGCTTACAGGTGATGTGCCTTCAGGATTTCTTTGGTGATGATGACATTTTTATTGCATGTGGACCGGAAAAGTTCCGTTACCAGGATGATTTCTTGCTGGATGAAAGTGGTAAGAGAATGTATCTTAAAAACTTTTACAACCAGAGTAAAAGAGTGCTTTTTGTATCATGCTAACTAAGCCAAAATTGAATCACCTATTTTGATTTCATAAAGATAACAAATATTTTTTTTCTTTGAATTTCAAATACTTGAAAATAAGAGGTAACTGAAAGCAACTTTAAAGCTACCAAAGCTGCTCATGCAACATAAAGGAAATACTAATTCCTGTACTAACTCCTATTTCACAAAGTCTTTCTCACTATTTTTGTATTTACTGTACTTCGTCACAGTTGCTCAACTCACAGTTCTAATAATTGAGATTTAGGTAGTGCTTCACAGGTAGTGTATGAAAGATAAATGTAATTAGCAAATGTAGATGAAGTCATCTGAGAAATTCTGGGAATTCTGCGTTTCTCAGAGACTGGCTGTAAGAATGACTCGTTTGATATACATAATCCTTTAAGTAAAATACACTTTATTTGCAGCTAACTTTGTTATAAACACTATTCATAAGTTATGAATGGTAATAGTAAGAAAAGAAAATCTAAGCTTTTTGCGTTTGAAAACAAACAGCTGCCATTTAACTTGAGTTTATTTTTTGTATAGAACAAGACCCAGTAAAGGTTTTAATTTCCCTGTTCTTTCTCAGGCTTGAGAAAGTCTGTAATGAACTGTTACCAAATTCTCTCTTTTTTTTTTTTTACGAAATATCAAAGGCTTCAAAGAAAAGTTGACTTGAATCAGAAAAAAGATTGTTATAACAGTAGCTGCTTCATAGCCATCCTGCCTTGAGGTGGAAGGCTACACGGTTTGGCTGCATCCAAACAAATGTTCCGTTAACTTGTGTAGGAGCAAAAGAAGCCGGCTTGTGCACATGTCATGTTTGGGCATATAGTGCCTGAAAAAGCAGGTATCTTTGCTACTGAAGGGAAGGACATTTTTTATCAGTCACAGGCAGAAGCAGACACACGTCTCATATTTCTCTGGGTGAGTCCTAGAGAACTTTACAGTAAAGACAAAACAAATAGTGCACCAGGTTTGCTCTTTAAAATAATGAAATTGCTGTTTCTTCTAATGTAAGTAAATCAGAAAGTAGAAATGAAAGGATAACATCAGCTGTCTTTAGGACAGGATTTAGAAATGTAAGGGGGACATACTTGTGCATTGGGGGTTTTCTAGGTGGGAATGTGGCCAGCACTACGGTTTTTGCCTTACAGAAGTGGAGAGCTATGTATTAGACTACATGGTCTGGATTCAGTTGTACCTCCTACCTAAAAGATGGCACTTGTGACTGCCCAGTGGCTCCTCACTGCATCCTGTGGCAGCTTTTTCCAAAGCTGACTCAAGAAGTACTGATAACAGATTTGTCTGAATCAAGTAACTTGTTCTTTTTTGGAGGTACAGTGTCAAAGTACAGTCATATCCTGACTCTGCTTAGTCTTTGTTTCACATATCATTATCTCTTTCAGTAAGCAGTATCTTTTTCTGGAAAATTTCCGCTTAAACTCACATTATGCTGAACTGAAAGAAAAAAAAATAGCTGAAAGTATTGACTGGAAATAGAACTTCAGCAACGTGTTCTGGTGTTTGGTTTTCTAGTGAACATCAACTGTTTTGACCACTGGAGCTAAGAAGGAGAAGAAAATAAGACTGTTTCTGATTTCTTTGCAAAGTGCACATCATTATTGCTCCGTGTTTTTGGGAAATTTTGGAATCAAGACAATTTGTTTAGGTTGCTTGCCATTAATAGCTGGTGTATCAACTAGTATATATCTATTCAGTCTTCCCTGAGATAGGTGCAAGATTTGAAGAGAGAATAAAAAATGCAACGAGTTCTTAGCTTGTTTTACTTGGCAAATGAAGACTGTGTGATCACAGTGCGTGTATGTATGTTCCTCATACACAGTATGTGTGTTCCTAATACACAGTTAACCTGACAACACTGAAATTATTACTGAGGGCTGTCTGACAGTGTAGGACAGGGAAAGCCTCTCTGATTCTCTGAAATGCTCTTGTTTCTGTATCTGCATCCCTCCAGAGTTTACTATTTTCAGCTGGGTGATGACAATAACGGTTGTGGTGTTGCAGCATAAGGAGTAAGGAAAAGCAAAATTTGAAAGTGTAAAGAAAGGGACAGAAAATAAATAAATAATCAAGGTGTTCTGGGCTCTTGGGTCAGAGGGAATTACTTCCATTCAGGAAGAATGCCCTATTTCTATAGTTTAGGTTCAGAGCTCCTGATAATAGTGGCGGGGTTTGTTGAAATTGGAAAATCAATCTGCCTACACTGGGATTAATCTTAGGTAAAACTAAGTAACTTACACTGAGAGAAGCAGCTGAGCCCATCCCAGCAGGTTCTTTGCTTGGTAAATAACATGTAGACCTATTGACACAGTAGGTGATAAATGTTTGATTGATTCAGTTGAAGGTAAGGGTTTAAAACAGTTTGAATGAATTATGCTCCAGAAATGTCTGGTTTGCTTTTGTAAATGGCATCACCATGCCTGGTATGATTCTTATTATCTGCATTGTATTTCTTAAAAGTTGTGGAACCAGCTTTTAGAATTGTACTCCAACAGGAAGGAAAACAACAATGAACTCATCAGTCTGCATCATTCTTAGGCATCTTTCTATATCCTGCTTCCAGCACAAGACAGCACCTACTGAAAGTGATAGAATCAGGAATTCAGAAGAACTAGCCTAGATGTGAGTCAGTTGTCCTGTCTAGAGTGGAATTAACATGACCTGTTTCTTTTGTGACAGACACTTGTCAAGTGTGCCCCTTAAAATCTTCTGATAATGGGGATTCTGTAACCTCCGCAGAATTTCTGTTCCAGTATTGAACTCTCCTAGATTTTTTCTCAGCTGTCTCACCAGAGATTCCCTTGCTCTAAAAGAAGCCCATTGCTGCTTCTCTTATCTGCTGTGAACATGGAAAACAGATGATTGCTTTTTTCGTAGGAAATGTCTGTGGACTGTTATAAGCGCCATCAATTTTTTCTTCTTTAAGTTGAACAATTAGTTCTGCCTTTCACTGGTTTGAAACCTGTCCTTCTTCAGCATGCTCCTTCTTTATATCATCTCTCTTCTCTGTTTTATGTATTTTTTAGGAAGAGGCATTGCATATCTCTGGCAGTTAAGAAAAGTAAGTTAATTAGAGATCCGTCAAAGAGCAAAATAAGCAGTCAGCACTATATATTACAGTTTCTCATCTCTTTCTTGATGTACAGATGGTTTTCGTATTAAGCACACTGCTTATAACATGAAGTACAGAATCAATAGACACCACCTCTGTCATAATTCCTAGCAGTCATCTCCACTTCTGACCTAATTGATAGATTGGATGGTCGCATACACTTCCATGAAGAGAAGTACAGATAGGGCATGAAAATGCGTGAGAATGACCGCAGCATTAAGAAGTAAATATTCCTTTTTTTGTCAAACAACCAGCGATGATTTTCTTTTCATAGGAAGGTTTTGTGGGAAGTGTAAGCACAGAAAAATTTTATTAATGAAGCACACCATTACATCAGCCAGCCTGTAAGGGAAAAAATTCCATGGTGTAGAATGTGGCAGCGACTGCTTCAGGCATTGTTAGCTTGCAGCTCTGGAAACTTTCCCAGAAATCCTAGGCTTTCTTTAACTGATGGTGGTTTAGTTTTCTAAGAAGAAAAGAAGTTAGAGGATGCTTTTCTGTAACCCTCAGCTTCATGTTCTCAGAGATTAGGATTTAAGAACTATACTCAAGAAAATATATGCAATCAGCTATTATTTAGGCACCTAAGTAGGATCTGGCAATGTAAGTAACCCAAGAGATTGCCCCTAAATGAAAACATCTTGGTTTATACAGAGGTTTCTTTCATAGCACTATAAAAATGCAACAGTTTTTGGCAATATCAAAATTAAATTTAAAAAAATGCTTTATTTTTGTGTTTAGTTAATGTTGGCTGTGTGCCTTCTGCGACTTAAGATTGCAGTTTATCTCCTAAGTGCGACAGAATTCATCACCTTGGAGATGCATCATGCAAAAAAGCTTCAATCTAGACTGACCAAAGCCAGTATCTGCCTCCAAACAGAACGTAACCAACATAGAATGACTGGGTGTAGAAAAAGCTTCAGATCCCTTGTCAAGAACACATGTTATGTCTATGGAAACAATGACGAAAATGACTCTTTTCTAGGGGAAAATTAGGACTGGAATCTTTGAAACCTAATTTCACTCTGACTTTGCTGGCCTGGGTTCGTCCTCAGCTCAGCATATTGGTGCCAGCAGTTTTACTGCATCGTCTTGCCAGAAGCAGACGGCTTGCCAGGAAAATCTGAGTCCTGTGATGTCCGCACACGTGTGTGTGCTGGGAGGCATGCACACGCATCTCATTCAGTAACTGCGGTTAGGGTCAGGAGTATCATGTTTATCCCTGTTAATAACTGTCAGGTTTCTGTAACCTTCATTACTCTGTCCTTCCTAAAGGGGGGAGAAAGGGGAAATTGGTTGTAGGATTTATAGGACAAAGACTGATGTGTTAAGCAGCTTTTGGCTGGACTTAGGAGAGGAGGGTATGCTGGCTGACTTACTCTGCCCTCATCAAAAAGTCGTGCTTTGGCAATTGGAAAATAATGGTGGGTTCTAGGGACTTTGAGATACAACTTTGCTTTCAACAGAGGCATAAATATAAAGTGTTCCAGCACAGTGTGATATTTTCAAATGTCATCAACTGCTGGGCCTTAGAGACATACTCTGTGTATGAGGCAGAAACAAAGGCAGGAAGGGACTAGTCCTCTGGTTGTATATTCCACTTACGCTAATTGTTCAGAGCGGGCAGAGTGAAAACAGCTTGCTTTCCCGTGGATCTGCATCCAGTGCCTCCTTTACTCTCTTACTTCAAGATCCCCAGTGTCATCCCCCCACTATCATCACGTCTCAGCACAGTACCCTCAGCTCCTTCCCACTTGGTTCGTCCCTGCTTATCTTCATCCCCTCGCCCTTCTCACTGCAGGGACATTAGTGGG